GGTCTTGTGGTGGTGAACACCTGCAGTTTTTGTTTGTCTTAGAAATATACTATTTGCCCTTCGTTTCGGAAGGATAGCCTTGCAGGGTAGAGTATTCTTGGCTGGCAATCTTTGTCTTTTAGTATTTTGAATATATCATCCCATTCCTTTCTAGCTTTTAGGGTTTGTGCTGAGAAGTCTGAAGTTAACCTGATTGGGGCTCCCTTATATGTGATTTGATGCTTCTCTCTTGCAGCTTTTAAGATTCTCTCTTTGTCTTTGAGTTTTGCCAATTTGACTATAACATGCCTTGGCGAAGCCCTTTTTGGGTTGAATACGTTTGGGGATCGTTGAGCTTCCTGGATCTGAAGATCTGTGATTTTTCCTATGCCTGGGAAGTTTTCTGCCACTATTTTGTTGAATATGTTTTCAATACAATCTCCTTTTTCCTCCCCTTCTGGAATACCCATGACTCGGATATTTGAGCGTTTAAGGTTGTCTAATATCTCTCTCAGGTTTCCTTCAATATCTTTGATACTTTTTTCTTTTTTCTTTTCTGCTTGTGTTATTCCAAACAGCCCATCTTCAAGTACAGAGGTTCTCTCTTCAACTTCCGTTAGCCTGCTGGTTAAACTCTCCATTGTGTTTTTTATTTCACTGAATAACTTCTTCAGTTCTGTAAGTTCTGCTACATTTTTTTTTAGGACATTGATTTCCTTGTACACTTCCTCTCTCAGGTTTTGTATATTTTTCTTTATTTCTTCATGCTGTCTAGCTGAGTTTTCTTGTATCTCATTCAGTTTCTTTAGGATTATCACTCGAAATTCCTTGTCATTCATTTCAAGGGCTTCTTGTTCTATAGGATCTAGAGTTTGAGCTTTATTAACTTTTGGTGGTGTACTTTCTTGGTTTTTTGCATTTCTGGTATCTTTTTTTGGATGTTTACTCATTTTGGCAGGGAGTTTCACTGTGCACAGGTTTGACCCTCTAGCTAACTAAGGTATGGCTATTTTTGTCAATTTGGTGTGCCTACCTCTGTGACTGCTCAGATGGCCCTTAGTGTTCTATGTGTGTGTTTGCCTTGGGTCTTGGGCCTTTCCGGGAAGCTTCCTCTCTAGTCAGCTCTGGGAGTTCTCCCTGTTCCTTGTGTTCTGGCCCTGGCAGCTGGATCCTGTCCTGCTGGCCCGACAGGGTGTGTGAGATCTGTAAGTCTCCACCTCGCTATCCGGGTGTTTCCCCTCACTGTGTGCACTCGGTGGGGCCACCTGGAGGGTGCATCTTTTTTTCCGAGACTCCTCCGCCTTTGCCGGACCCCTCCCCTCTCTGTGCGCTCAGTACAGGGCTGGGGCGTGTCTTCTGCAATCCTCGTCTCTCAGCCCCGCCCGGCCCAGAAGGGGTCTCAGGCCTCCACCACGGACACTGTGGGTGTTCCTGCGGACCTCGTCAAGGCCCTCTCTGGGCCTCCCACCATCCTCCCGGTATTGCGGCCCCCTGTGTTGTTGAGTTATCTCCCACACCAGGGCGCGAGCCCCCCAGGGGAGGATCCCACAGCACACAGTTCCTCTTTGAATCCCCCCAGCGTGAGCCGGCTCGGCGCCCTCAGTCCGTCAGCTCTCTGGCAGGTTCAAGCGGGCTCGGGGGCACCCCAGTCACCCCTCTCCCTACCAGAAATCAGTCTGGGGTTCTTCCAAACTGAAGGCCACAGAGATGGTATCTGCCTCCCAGAAGCAGGAAGTTTACCTGGGGCTGAAGCCCCAGGTGTGGTGGAGCGACAGTCTGGCCGGGATCCTCTTCCCTGCCCTCCCGACGCTGGCCGGGGGCTCCCCACGCCACCAGCCCCACCAGAGATCCGCGGGTGGAGTGGGATTGGTGGCCGGTCCACAGGCCCCGGGGGGCCCCCGTGCTGAGGCACACAAGTGGCACGGCTCAGTGAGGAGCCGTGCCAAGCGAACATGGCTGGTCTGCCCGATCTGAGTCAGCCGGCTCCGCCCCCACCGGAGAAAATGGAGGCAGCGGTGGTCCCGGCGCCTAGCCTGGTGTGGTAGGCGGGAGCTGGGCAGTCGTTTGCCCCACAAGCGGGGCTGGGCTGGGGGTCACTCACAGAGCTCCCAGAGCTGCGCCGGTCCAGCGCCTTCCTCTCTATCTCTGCGTCGCTGCTGCCGTCTTTCCTGGCCTTTGTTGCCTCGGGCTGCTCGCTCTGTCTCCCGGCGGTCTCCCGGTGTGGTTGGGGCGCTCTCCGGAATCTCCTTTTGTATCGGC